CATCCTTGGCATAATCCAGTCTCATGTGGTTATGGAGTGCTATAAATACAACAGGAATTCTCCAAGGCCCAATTCCTTCGACAGAGTTGGGTATCTCTGCATTGCCATGCATTTAGACTGCACCAAGTCAGTGTAATCCTCAGGCTTTATTCATTTGTGCACTGCTGTGAATGCTCCTAGAAGACTACAAGCATCATTGCAAGCAATATCGTTGATTCTACATGATCATGCAGTTTTTGACAGCTTTTGGATTGGTGTTTTGATTTATTCACTAAACAAAGGATTTACCATTACAAGCATGCCTAATGTTTCTCTTGTACTGCTGTACAACACACCATTCCTTTTAAGACTTGGTAACGTGCTCTTACAATGTATTTAATGGAATGAATCCACGTAATACACAGAGTGCACATGGACTGTGACTTCTTGAAAAATCACTTGAGGAAAGTTTTCTGAGGTTCAGTAACAACATCGGGCTCCAGGAGACAGAATCCCCTCCTGTTCTTACATGGTTGCCCAAGATGACAGACTAGGAGGGCAAAGGTGAGCAAGAGCTTGCCCTGGAATAAAGCAGCGCAACTGCTGTGACGCCGTGAGCTGTAGCTTTTGACCTCTTGGCCTCCAAAGCTTTTTGGTGAACAAGTCATCTTATTGTATAAGTGAAATGTATCCTATTATTCTATGCATGATTGATTGAAAAATGCTTTACTAGCTGGAAAGACTGTTGAACAATATAGTTTCCACTTACAAAGCACTTTCCTTAAAAAGCTTCTCAGGGCAGCATCATATAAAAATAGTTATACTGAAAGTTGTGAACCAGCTTCTGAAAAATCAGGACTAACAAAAGCTAAGGTATAAATAGAAATGTTTTTGTGGGTTTTCTCTTCTCTAGAGGCACAGAATCTCAATCGGTGCTGGATGGTAACAAACAAAAATGCCCTTTTCCAGACACACAGGAAAACAAGGACCTTCCAGACTAGTGGCACAGAATATAAATAGGTTTTCAAAACTGCTTCAAAACCATAAAACTTTTAGTCAAAACCGTAACATTTGCATTTCAGAACTAGCCATGCCATATCAGACAATTTTTTGATCCAGTTCTTTATTTTATTTGATACAAATAGCATCTCCTGCTTTAGAGAAAGGTTAAACAAGTTATATTTTTGTAATTCTGGAATGAATTGTCTCCAGGCGCTCAAGGATATGAGGATTATCTCAAAGTCTGCAATGTATTAGGAATCCTGGAAGACAAATGCTGAACAATGTAAAATATTACATATTGTCTTTTTATATTTTGTCAGTGGGTAGAATAAATGCACCTTACTGGTCATTTTCAAAATGCATTATTTTTGCAAAGAAGGTTTTTTTTGGTTTTTTTCCTTATCACAGGTTTTGAAACAGCTAAATGTAAAGCTAATATTTGCTAATCTAGAGTTTGGATAATCTTGATTTTACTCTGAGCCTGTTCCTTCTTCTGCTCTGTGCTGACCTTTTCTGAATCTACCAAACCCAATGTAGTTTAATCCACAATACCAAAGAGGGAAGCTCTGTTTCTGTAAGTCGAAAATAGTTCTTATTGCAGCTAACCTTGCAGCTCAGTCAGTTCTGCTGTTGCTCTTTAAGTCATGTTTGACCAGTTATGTCTGCACAGACCAGAAGCAAGGTTGAACAGGGTATCTGCACAATCAGGCTGATATGTGCTGCTGTTTTCAGTGTAGTAGCTCCTATATTCAAAACATTCCCCACACAAAACATTTACTTACCAACAACTGAATTTATGATGCCCTTGGGGTCTGTAGTAGCTCAGCTTTAGAGATACTGACCGTTTCAGTCTATGTATGGGAAGTAAGGATTTCAGTGAAAGTTCATTGGAATCAATTCCTTCTGTATATTCTCCAGTCATCCCATAATCTTTTCTCTTGCAAAAAAATACTAGGGGGCCTTTTTCCATTCTGCATGGAAGTCTGATGTTCAACCCCTTTGTTGCCTTGGTAGTTATTTAACACAGTTCAGCCTTGCCAAAAGGGAGATCTACAGCCATCTCACAACCTCACAGCGTCACCCACAAGTGGAGTGGCACCGTAAGGTTGAAGGGAGAACTTAGGTTCCATCTCACCATCATCCAGACTAAGACCTGGGTGATGTGTGGTTAGTCTTTTTTTGCTCCCATAGCAAACAGTGCAGTAATTATTTGCAGCAGTATTTAGCTACCTCAGTGAAAAAAAAAGATCAAAACCACAGTATTTTGCTCCATGCTGCTGCCAGGTAATAGCTGATGGTGTTTGACATCAGACATTCTGAGTATTCCTCATTCAAGTAATATTTGGCCACTTCCATTACCCAGTGATCACTGTATGAGAAATATTTGATGTAAAAATGACGAGTTCTTCCTGCTAGAGCTATAGCATAACAGATCTGCTTGCTGAAATTCTACATCTGTCTGTAACAGCAGCACCAAAATAGCTTTAATAATTAATCATGCATCAATGAAATGATTAACTCTGAGATGGGCGGGAGATTTTTGTGTCATGCATCAGACAAAATACACTGGCAACACTTAACGAGCAGTCACCTGCTCCTGCTCCACCTGCCATTGTGAGAGCACTCTGGAAACCAGAAGAGAGACAAAGGCCCAATAGAAATTGATAAAAACCTTCACCTGCTGCTGGTACCTTCAGGAATACAGAACTGTTGAAACACGTGCTGCTATAGCTGCACACAGGGGTACAGCTTCGCTTATTAACATGTATGTATTAACATGGCCTGTATCAGAAACCATGTGGCCAGCAGGACCAGGGAAGTCATCCTCCCCCTGTACTCAGCACCGGTGAGGCTGCACCTCAAGTACTGTGTTCAGTTTTGGGCCCCTCACTACAAGAAAAACATTGAGGTGCTGGAGCATGTGCAAAGAACGGCAGTGAAGCTGGTGAAGGGTCTGGAGCAGAGGTTTTATGAGGAGCAGCTGAGGGAACTGGGATTGTTTAGTCTGGAGAAGAGGAGGCTGAGGGGAGACCTTATTGCTCTCTACAACTACCTGAAAGGAGGGTGTAGTGAGGTGGGCGTTTGTGTCCTAAATAACAAGTGATAGGACAAGAGGGAATGGCCTTAAGTTGTGCCAGGGGAGGTTCAGGTTGGCTATTGGGAAAAAATTCTTCACTGAAAGGGTTGTCAGGCTCTGGAACAGGCTGCCCAGGGAAACGGTGGAGTCACCATCCCTTGAGGTATTTAAAGGGTGTGTAGATGTGGTGCTTAGGGACATGGTTTAGTAGTTTAGTGGTGAACATGGCAAAGCTAGGTTTGCGGTTGGACTAGATGATCGTAATGGTCTTTTTCAACCAAACTCTTCTATGATCCTGTGTAATTTGCCAGGCGACACTCTCCATCGTACCCCGCTGTGACGGCGATGGAAGACAGTGCCCGAACGTGAGGCTAAGCGAGAGTTAAGCAGGGAGTTGCCTGCCTGGGAACACCAATGCAAACAGCTGCCATGGAAGGGCTGGGCAAGGAGAGACAAGGCAGGGCGTGGGCGATGGCATCCTGCGCTCACCCCCTCTCGGGTTCCCTGGCAATTGCCACGCTGCTCTGCCCTGGCAGCTGCTTGTCATGTTACAAACAGATTTCCATGAAAATGGTGGGGTTTTTGCCAGAATGTCATGATGTGCAGCTGATTTTAGGGTAGGTGGGAGTTTAACACTGAGAATCCTTAGAACTCAAAATTGGAAAATTACTTCCTAGCCTTAACTTCCAGTTAGAAATTTTGCTCAGCTATCTTAACTTTTTCCAGGCCCTTTGCTCTTGTTCCATGGCTCTTGGGGACTATTACAACTACAGAGGCAAAAATCCTCAGGGGAGATCATCCATATGCTGGTTCTTGAATTAAATATTACCAGTGTGTCCAGTGTAATGCTTTTACTGGTATGAAAGTATGATTAAAAAAAAAGGGGGGACTTTAGAGCCAGTTTTACAATGCCAACAAGAATTGCTATCAGTCTGGCCTTAGAAATCAAGCCAGTTTTAGGGGAAAAGGGAGGAAGGGACACTGTGGAATGAAATGAGCAAATGAAGTTAAAAAAGATTTATTTTGCCAGTTGTTTGGGACACGACCGAGCACTGAACATCGCAGAACAACAGTTACTGTTAAAAAGCACTCAAGAGGCAAACAGTCGTCATTCCCTGCTGATCAGAGCAGAACTCGTGGTATCTGGGCTAGAGGGTCAGAGCAAGCTGGGGCACAGCCAGCACCTGTGCGGGGACGGAGTATTCCCTGTTAGCTGAGGGCTTGTGCCAGGTGGGGAGAGCATCAGGTGGGAGATGTGGCCTGGGGACAGGTAGCTCAAGGGGGCCATGGCTGCCAGAGCTCCAGGTGAATGTCACTGTTCTCAACCCCCATGGTCAAACTCAGCACAGGTGGCAAAGCTTGTCCCAGGAGCAAGAGTGGTTTATGTGATACACACAGCACAGACCTTCGTTAGCGGGACCTTTTTAATGAACAACAGCTAAGTTCTGGAGGCATCAAAATGTATCGTTCTGCAACTAGGAATTTACAGACACCACAAGCCACATGGTGCTTTTTTTTCCCCTTTTTCTCTGTCCCTTCTACCACTGCCCTTTATAAAAAACAGAAGTTAAATGAGAGAAAAATAGCTTTAATGAAAATTCAGGTTGAGAAATCAAAATCAGAGACTCCAACAACAGGAAGTTTCAAAAGTGGTGTTTACAACAGCACGCTGCTGAACTGTAGCACACTCGCCTTTCTTTTCCTTTACATTTAAGCCATATTATAGTCTATACCTTGATTCGACAGCTGGGCACAGTCAGTATTGTGCCATTAGTTTAACCTGGCACAATTTCCTAGGCATGGAAAAGTGAACTGAATGCAACCCCTGAACAATTTCCTGACTCCTGCTATCAGTGCTGCAAGTTTTTTGTCTTTCCAGTAAATGCATCTGAATTGTTTCCCCGTGCGAGTACGCTTAAACTTGTTTGTTATTTTATTCTAGGGAGCTGGAGACAGTTTTGTGGGAGCACTGGCCTTCTACCTGGCTTACTATCCCAAGCTACCCATGGAGGAAATGATCAGGAAGTCTAACTACGTCGCATCAGTCAGCGTCCAGGCATCAGGGACACAATCTTCATACCCTTACAGGAAGGACTTGCCTCAGGACCTTTTCTAATTGACATTGTCTAGCTCAGTGTACTGATTTTATCTTATCCCAGACGGCATTATTCTTCTGACTGCACGAAGGTTACCCTCCACTGACTGGGAAGACCAGGAAAGTCTCTTTGCTTCTTATTTGAGGAATCCTGTTAGTTGCTGTTCTACAGCAGTAAGATGGGGTGGGGCTGGTGGGTCTTTCAGACACAGCACAGCAGGTCACTCTGGCCCCACACACGACCATTGGGCTTGTGCCATCCCACACAATGTGCTATACTCAAATACACAAAGTTGACAGCAAAACGTTTGGAGGGTATTGGGCTCCTGGTAGTGTTTTACTTGATTTTATCAGAACTTCTGATGGGTGAAGCAGAGCATTAGCTTTCAGATGGCAGCTTAAGTCCTCAGCTGCAAACACCAAGGCCAGCGTTTGGCTCGTAGCAAAGCAGCGTGCACCCAGCCCCGGCTCATCTATTCCCATGTGCCTTAGGCGGGGGCTCCAGCCCTGTGCTCTGCGCTTCTGCCAGACTCTGGAAGAGGACAAGAGCACTGCTGAGGTAGACTCTGAAAAACATTTCTAGCCATATTGCTCTAAACATAGGTGGGCTAGTTAAAGTTGAAAAAATTCCAACATCAGCCAGAGAACTACTTTGGCCATCTGCTGTCTTCATGCTTCACAAAAATCCACGAGTGAAAAACTGATCCTGTTTACCTGACTGAAACTAATGCAGCCCTTTTAGCCATGGTCATAGCTTATCCAAAAGCTCTTATTTCACTGAGTTCCCATTGCTTCTTCCTTTCCTAGGAAGGAGCTGGTGCAACACGACCCCTCCAAGGAATGACACCAATTCGTGGTCACTACTGTTGAATCTGTGGC